AGAGAGAGAGAGAGAGAGAGAGAGAGAGAGAGAGAGAGAGCGCCATTTTGGCTCTTAACCCTCAGCTGTATCCCAGGTGGGAACTGAGTGTGTTCACCTTGGTTCTTGATTCTGCTCAGGCCACATCTGTGTCCTCCTCTGTAGAAGGAGATAGCAGAGTGCTTGTTTTGAGGTTCCTCCAAGTCAGGGCTGGTTATGCACAGGCTGTCCTCCAAGGCAATGACCGTGAGTGTTCCTAACTGCATGGATGTCCAGCTTTCCAACAGGTCCATGGGGCTGAGGAGCCCAGCTTTTTCTCTATCAAATCTTCTTTGTCACCTCTTCAGGAAGCACCTCCTGACCCCTGGCAGCAGGCTGCTTACTTCCTGCTCCCTCAGGACTCTGCTTAGGCTCCTGACACATCAGTGAAGAATCTCATGGAAATATCTGGACTAAGACTCTGAAGATCAGGGACAATATCTTCCCAGTCTCTGTGGCCTTTACATGTATGAGAGGATCCAGTTCCTGACAAGTTCTATGAGTGTTTGTTGAGTGAATGTGTGATAGAGGGCAATAACGAGCTCCCTCCTTGAGGTCTTGGAGTGTAGAGGAGGCCCTTCCTGAGCTCTGTGAGATTCATGAAAGCTCTTATCTGATCATTGTGTGTGGACTTAATGGAAACACTGGCATCTGGTGTCCTTTCCGCGTGAAAAGGCTGCCTGGGTAGGGCAGACTAAGTAGAGAAACCTGGCGGTTTCCATTGGACTATGAATCATAGACAGCCTGGGTGTGGTGCTGCTTCAGCCAGTTTTTTTCACCTCTATGACCAAAGACCTGACAGGAGCAACACAGGGGAGTTTATTTGAGGGCTATGGTTTCAGAGGTCTCAGTCCTTAGTTAGTCAAATCCATTGCCAGATGGGAAGGAGCTCAAGGCCATCAGAGAAGTCTGAAGACCCAGGATCATAAAGCAGGCAGGATCCAGGCTCGGGGGCCTAGGGGAGGAAAGCAGCCCAGGACATGGCAATCAGGAAGCAGAGAGAGACCAAGCTGGGCTCACCAGGGACAAAGTATACACCCCACAGGCACGTCCCCAGCCACCCACTCCTGCAGCCACACCTACCTGCCTGCAGCCGTCACCCAGTTAGTCTGTTCAATCGGATCAAGGCACTGACTAGGCGAAGGCTCTCACAACGCGATCATGACACCTCTAAACTTTCTTGCATCGTCTCTCACATGAGCTTTTGGGGACACCTCATATCTAAACCATAAGAGGTGCTGTGGGGGAAAAGGGGCTAATGAGAGGTTATAGACACGTGAGGCCATAGCTGAGAGGTAGAGCATTTGACTGCAGATCAAGAGGTCCCTGGTTCAGATCCAGGTGGCCACTGCTTTTCACTGGAGGACCACAATGGTTACCATGTGATTCTGCCATCCAGGTGGAGAGAGGCAAAGTAGATAAGGAGTTCACCAGAAATAATTTCTGACACCTGTCAATCTAGAGAACCCCTGGGTTTTCAAGACCCAGTCTGTGCTCATGGGTCTCAGAATGGAAGACAGGATCTAGTCTAGACAGGTTAAGGAAGACAAAAGCAGCAGATGTATCCTTCCCATATGTGCGTGCTAGGCCCAGTTCTCCAGAGAACACAGACCAAGAGAGAGAGAGAGAGAGAGAGAGAGAGAGAGAGAGAGAGAGAGATTTTAAGAGCTGGCCTACAGCTGTGGAACATATAAGCATGATTTCTACAGGAGGCTCCAGTCTGGACTCCCACCAGGAAAAGGGGACGTGGCAGCTTGAGTCTGAAGACAGTCTTTCTCATAATCCTCAGTTTTCCTCTTAAGGCTTAACTGA